CCACTTGTAATAAAACTTTAAAACATGTATAAGTAAATGCTGTTGGTTTTTTTTTAAATAAACATACTCTGTATTTAAAAAATTAAATCTCAAAAGAATTTTTCAGCATGATACACGCACATTAATTTTAAAAATCACTCGGCGCTGAAAGGCTTAGTGCAACAACAAACACTCCTCTCTCCATGCCCATTCATCCCCAGAGGCCACCACTTACCAGTGAAGGGGCTGGTTCTGCTGGTAGTGTCCGCCGCATGCCCGCCAGTGGCTTTGGCTGAAATTTCTTGATCCGTTTACTTTAGACGGTATTCGGTGACTCCTTTGTATGATAGATGTTGTTTGGTTTTCCCCAGCTTCCTTCACTCTTCAAACACACTCATGTTACTGCGGTTCAGTCACTCGTTAGATGAGTGTTTAGTGTTTCAATTGTTAGGGATGCGTAAATATGGTTTTCTGTAGTCAGGTAGTAAACCATTAATGACATGTCCTTTATTGAATACTTTTTTTGTTTTCCTGGAATTTCTAATTCCCTTCAAAAACCATTTTTTATCTGCCCTTCCCATTCTAAATGGTAGCTTTGCTGGATAGAGTAATCTAGGTTGTAGGTCCTTGCTTTTCATCTCTTTGAATATTTCTTGCCAGTTCCTTCTTGCCTGCAAAGTTCCTTTTGAGAGATCATCTGACAGCCTTGTCGGAACTCCTTTGTAGGTGACTCTCTGCTTTTCTCTTGCTGCTTTTAAGACTCACTCTTTGTCTTTAACCTTTGGCATTTTAATTATGATGTGTCTTGGTGTGGGCCTCTTCAGGTCTGACTTGTTGGGGACTCTCTCCCAGAAAAGATAAAGCTAAAGGAATTCATCATCACCAAGCCATTATTACATGAGATGTTAAAGGGACTTATTTAAGAAGAAAAAGAAGATCAAAACTATGAACATTAAAATGACAACAAACTCACAGCTATTAACAACTGACTCTAAAAAACAAAAACAAACTAAGCAAACAACCAGAAAAGGAACAGAATCACAGGTATGGGGATCATTTGGAGGAGTATCAGCAGGGAGCAGGTGGAGGGAGAATGGGAGAAATGGTGCAGGGATTAAGAAGCATAATTGGCAGGAACAAAATGGACAGGGGGGTGTTAAGAACAGTCTAGGAAAGGGAGAAGCCAAAGAACTTACGTGCACAACCTGTGGACAGGAACTAAGGAGGGAAGGGGGTACCGGGCGGAGGCGGGCAAAGGGGGAAAATTGAGACAATTGTAACAGCATAATCAATAAAATATACTTAAAACAGAAAATAAAGAGTGATGATAAGACAAAAAAAATTCTTACTCTAGCGACCTTCTATCTACCGGGTACTACAAGCACACGCACCCACACACACGGCCGACTCTGGGACAACACTGGTTGGAATTGTGCAGCTTGACTTCTATGCAGATTTTTAAAACTGACCCACACAGTTTAACTGGCCTGTGGAGTTCAAACCTGCCTTGTCCAAGGGTCCACTGTGTGTGCATGTGTGTGTGTATACATACACACATACATTTTATACATTGTACACGATGTTATTTTATAATATATGTTTTAATATTATGTTTTAAATAATGTATAATATTTTACTGGATTTATATATATAAGCTCTTAAATTACTTTATTTTTAAACTATATATTTAATAAATATATCTCTCATATAATAAAAATATTCCAACAAGTGTGGTCCCATCAGGTTTTCTGTGGTGCCTTCCCTCTTTTTTTTTTTAAGGTTTTATTTATTTATCTTTACAGAGGAAAAGGAGGGAGAAAGAGAGAGAGAGAGCAACATCAATGTGCAGTTGCTGGGGGTCATGGCCTGCAACCCAGGCATGTGCCCTGACTGGGAATTGAACCTGCGACACTTTGGTTCGCAGCCCGTGCTCAATCCACTGAGCTACTCCAGCCAGGGCCCTGCGCCTTCTCTTTCTCTGCACGCGTCTCTTCCGGGATGTGGACCAGGCGGTCCCAAGGCCTGCAGTTCAGCTGTCATCCCAGCAGCTCCCCTCACTGCTTCTGGATGGGATCCTCTGCTTCCTGTATCCTGTATCTCCCTGCATGTGGTTTATTCCTTTATTTTACTAGAGGAAGTTCTTAAGTGGTTTTCAAATACCTGATTGGGAAATAGATGTTCTGAGTTTTTATGTCATCTGTCATCCTATGTATAATTATTGAAAAATCTGCTGCGACCCTGAATTTCATTTGTGGGCCCAGAGTGGGGCAGATGAGTGAAGTTAACCAGATCCAGCCTTTCTGAAGGTGTGTGCGTGCATTTGTGTAGGGCAGGGCGTTGGTAGGGAGTAGGTCTTCAGAGGCAAGGTTCACAGAGGGAGGCGCGAACTGGAAGACCTTGGTTTTCAATTTCGGAAGCATGCAAATGTGACTGCCTGTGGTTGGCCCACTCTGCCCAAGAGCCCCAGTTATTGATTTGAGGTCCATGCTGCAGAGTGATTTCCAGGGACGTCCCCGAGGGCCCTAACCTCGTAGTGGCCTGGCCATATCTATGTCAGGGCACAGGTGATGTGGCGCCATGCTCAGAGGCACTTGACAAGCTAGGCAGATGGGCTGAGTGTGGAAGGGGACACGGGCAGTTTCCCACCTGGGCCCCCAGGGCCAGTGGTGTGAGCACTGGGCGCCAGGACGGCTCAGCTGCGGGAAGCGTGAGGACAACACAAGGATTTGTGCGGCTGCTGGATGAACACGGGTGGTTGCCAAAGAATTCAGTGCAGTTCTACGTTGCGTTAATAAAGAGGTGACCTCCCAGTCCAGGGTGCGAGGGGCCTGCTGGACTTCACAGTGGGGCAGTTCATAACTAGAGTATCTCGTTCTGATCCGGGTGTATGTTGTTCATTTAGTGAGTTTCCCATCCTCGAATGTGTATCCATTTCAAATGCCTCTCTCCATGTGGCTTTCCTTGACGCTTCCCCCACCCAGAGCTTACTTATTATCTGTCTGGGTTCTTGGTCTCTCTTTGCTTACCATGTTGCTGTCCTAGAGATCTCCGCCCTCTGTGAACCGAGTTCCCCGGGGTACTCAGGCGATTGCGCACCTGAAATAGAGGCAGTAGTCTTGGCCCCATGTGTGTCACGGGGGTGTGCGACGGTCAGATGCGCTGTTCCGCTGTGGGGCTTTACAAACAGCAAATGGGGGTGGTTGTTATTTCCTGTTCATCTGTTAATGTGATGAGTAACGGCCTCAAATTAGCAAGCCAGTTAGGCAGCATTGTCCCCAGCATCTGTGTGGCATCCCCACCCTGGTGTGTCCTCAGTCAGGAAAAAAAAGCTTGCTGTTCACTGTCTAACTTCTTCAGCACTAGGACCTCCCTTTTAGCCTGTTCTTCTCCCTGTCCTCCTCGAAGTCCTTAAACTGTCATGGCTCTGCTGGGCTGTCGCACAGCTGGATCCTCTGTGGCTCCAGAGTCCGGGGATCACGGACTTGGGCAGGGCCTGCCCATGGCCACGCAGGCTCCCTGGTGCAGATGCGGGCCTGAGTCTGGGGTTTGCAGACCCAGGGCTTGGGAACTGCGCTGCCTTTGTACTGAAGTCAGTCACCTCAAGGGGTTGCTTCAGTCCAAGAGGCCCGCTTCCCCTGGCGCTGGGCTTCCCCTGTTATGGTTCCGCTTCTCTCTGCTGTTTGACGGGGGCTGTTGGACACTGGCCGACCTCAGTCTGACGAATGTGGCGCTCCGCTGGCCCAGGTCCTTGCACAGACCACTGGGGTCTGAACACCAAGCTTGACCGAAGGTGCTCCAGGACTAAGGTCCTGTTCCATTTATACGCATGAGCTCAGCCATCGATCTAAAATCCCAGAGGCACTGGGTCCTGGAAGCTCAACTGGGGGGAGCCATGTGCTGTGCCACAGCCAGTCCTCTCTGTGTGACCGTCCTCCAAATGCTCTTGTTAAGCCTCTGCTCCCAGCATAGATTCCTCTCCTCAGAGCCATTTTATTCAAGGAGACTTACTGCCCCTTCCTGGCCCTGGGCCTTGACCTGGGACATGCAGAGTGACCACAGCATTCGGGCGTCTACTCCTTCCTTCCAAAAAGCCTCCTATGCACACGGAACCCTCCCCTGTGCACCAGAAATCTCAGTCAGCAAGGATCTTGCTTCTCTAATCTCTGGGCTGTGGGTGCTGCTCCCCCTGTATCTTCTGACCTAAGTCATCACTTAGATGACTGCATGTGGATTAAAAGCTTGGCTTCTTTTTTAATTTTACTTTTTAGAAAGATTTTATTTATTTATTTTTAGAGAGAGGGGAAGGGAAGGAGAAAGAGAGGGAGAGAAACATCAGCGTGTGGTTGCTTCTTGTGTGCCCCCCGCTGGGGACCTGGTCCGCGACCCAGGCATGTGCCCTGACTGGGAATCAAACCAGCGACCCTCTGATTTGTAGGCTGGCGCTCAGTCCACTGAGCCACACCAGCCAGGGCAAGCTTGGCTTCTCTTGTTAAATTGCCAGGAGTCTGGAGGGGGCAGCCTAGACTGGAGAGGCGGCCTGGCTGTGTGCACAGCGCACACAGGTGAGTCGTGGAGGCAGCGGCAGAGACATGGAGGAGCAAGCGAGTAGCTGTGGACTCAGGTACAGAGGCTGAGGTAGCTGTGACCCCTCAATTTGCCTCAGTGTCTGGGACACTGTACAGTTTGCTTTACTCTCTGAGCTCCTCGCTGCCACAGGGCCTACCCATCCTGGAGGCAGGTGCTATGCGGGGGATTCTGGCATCAGTTAGAGCAGTGGACTCGGTAGCTTCAGAGGACGTCTGCCAAGTGGGAGAGTCTGTGAAAAATGGCACACTGAGGCCATGAAACGTCCCGCCTCTGCACGAAACCGCTTCTTCAGCTGAGCTCGGGATTCGGCCACCGCAGACACACCATTGGGGTGTCCCCCTTTAGTCTTCGCCCACAGTTCTCCTTTCTCTGTGGCTTCTTCTGGTTTATTTCCCTTCTCCCTCACCATACTCTGTGTGTTCTTCTCACCCCAGCTGTTGAATCGAAAAGACAAGACCACCTTTGAGAAGCTGGACTACCTGATGTCCAAGGAAGACAATTACAAGCGGACTCGGGAGTACATCCGAAGCCTGAAGATGGTCCCCAGTATCCCCTACCTAGGTAGGAGTCTGAGTCGACTTGCTATTTTTTAAGAAAACTGTTCACTGCCAAATAAGATGTTTTTATAGTTTCTAACTGAGAAATTCCCAGGGAGCTGCATGGGCCAAGGATAAAGAGGTGATTAATTGGTTGGATCCTTGGGTTGAACAGGCTGTTGCTGCTTCCCAAGGACAGGAACCTTGACGAGGGCCTTGGGGCGGGGGAGTCCTGCTTCTCACACAGGGGACCTGTGAACCCCAGGTCTCCTGACCTGCAGCCCGGAAGGGTCACGACTCCTACCTGTTCATCCCCATCTCCCAGACGGAGGGGACTCGGGCCCGAGCCCCTCTGTTCTGGCTCTCCGGGCATTATCAACATGTTTTAGATTTGTACCAACAAAATTCCAATAACGGTGATTGATTCTTCTGATTAGAAAATAATACACTTATTATAAAGACTTAGGAAGGGAATAAAGTTAATATAATTTATTATCCCACCTACAGATAATCCTATTTTGCTTCATGTCTTTTCATTCATTCGGGTGCATTTAAAATATGTGTGTTTATCCTGTTGTGGACACTTAGTGGTGTCACCTGCGTTTCTGTACCATGACTCACTCCCATCACACTGGGATCTGCTCTCCAGTGTTGACATTTAAGTTGTTTCTACATTTTGCTATTAAAATTTTGCTGTGAACATCCTTATTGCAGAAACTTCCTGCACACTGTTATGATTATTACTGTACAATAAATTCCTAGAATTGCTATTACTGGGTCCAAGTGTAAGCAGAATGTTATGCCTTTTCATGCATAGTTTTAAAGTACTCTCCAGAGAGGTGGTAACAGCTTATACTTTTATTGGAAGGGGATGAAATTACCCGTTTTTCCCACTTGCACAAATACTTTGGACTTTCGTGTGCTTTTTCTTTTCCTTTTTGGTTTTTTTTACATCTTTGCCAATTTGCTAGGTGAAAAATGCTTCTTATAGTTTGGGTTTCAGGGTTATGCTAATTTTATAAAAAATATTTCTACCTTTTTGTGATCTAAAATAGTATTCATAGCAAGGGAAATTAAGGCCTAATAGAAGTGACCTCCAACATTTTCAGGGATGTAGTGCAATTTGTTGAGATACATTTTTGACAACTTTTAACTTTTTTCCATGAGCATTATTTATTTAGATTTTCTAATTCTTCTAAAACCAATTTAGAAAATCTATTTTTTTTGTAGACAATCTATTTTTAGTAGAAAAATTGTCCATTTGATCCAAGTCTTAAAAATGATTAGCATAGAAATTTTCCTCATTTAATTTTTTTTGATCATAGAGTTTTATGATAGTCTCATAAAATTTAAACTACGCATGGTTATATTTGCTTTGTACTCCTAATAGTCTGCATTTTTCTTTTTTCTTCCTTTAATTTGCTTTGCCAGAGGTATGTCAGTTGGTCTTTCTAGGGGATTAGACGTTGTATTTGTTTATCAGTCACATTGTCCTTCTGCTTTCGGATTCACTGTATCCCACCAGCCTAGCACGTGCTTTCCCCTCCACGGTTTAACACTCTGACGTTGGGACGCATCTTTCAATGCATGACAACAAGGCGATGTGACATTCCTTAATTGGCAGCAGTTTTCTTAGTGATACATAAAATAACGGTGCATTTATAATAGATGGCTTCCTGAATTTGATGAAATTTCTGCTTTTGTCTTATAATTCACTTCTCCTGCTCCCCTTAAAGTGTTTTGTTTTTTCTATTAATTACTCAGTTGAATTATTGGTTCTTTTTTGTACATATTATTTTTGCACTTTAGTTTGGAAAACAGTGGGTATACATTTTCTTCTAACTGCTGATTTTGCTATATCCTCCACATTTTAATGTTTAGTGTTCTCACTGATATTCTTTCATTGTTCTCTAATTATGGTTTCCCTTTTTCTTTTGTCCAAGCATTACTTAAGATAGTGTTTTTTTAACTTCTAAGGGCGTGGTCTTTTTCAAGTGGCCTTACTGAGGTGTAATGCATGTACTGTCTGTGTAGAGTGCACTGTCCTGTGGCACCAGCACTGTTTAGGGCACTTTAACACCCCGAAGAGAAGCTGCGTATCCATTTGTAGTCACCCCCTTCTTTCTCCGTCACCCCACTCTCCACTCACCCGTCCTCAGCCCTTGGCAGCCACTAGTCCACTTTCTGTCTCCGTAGATTCGCTGATTCTGCACATTTCACGAAAGTTGAATCGACAGCATGCGGCCTCTTATGACTGGCTCTGTTCCTTTCACCTCACCCTGTTTCAAATGTCCGTCCGCGGTGGAGCATGACCAGTAGTACCTCGTCCCTCCTGACTGCCGAGTTGTGCTCCGTTGTGTGGACACACCACTTTCGATTCGTCCGCCCCCCGATCGGTGCGCTCGTGGGTGGCCCCGAGTTTGGGCTGTCACGCACAGCAGTGCTGTGTGCAGCTTCGGTCTTGAAAAATAGTCTTTTCTCTCACGTTTTCACATTCGCCTAGAATATGTAACATACATGCTTTCTGGGTTTTTTAAAGGGTTTGAGATGTGTCTTGCGCGTTAATATTAGATTACTTTCTGTTAATGTTTCCTGGGTGCTGGAAACAAAAGGTGTAGCTTCTCAAATTACTCATATAATTATTAAATTCTAATATTCAAATTATTTATTTTCGACAGCGTGGTCTACAGACAGGAATGTAGGCTGGAGTCTCCTCGCCCCGTATCATTTAGTTTATAGAAGTTTATAAAGCCGTTGATTTGTTTCAAAGTGCCCCCTACAAAATGATCTTGATCACGTTTCTTATTTCCCTTTACTTCTTTGAAATGTTTAAGTCTGTGAAATGTTTTATTTTTCCTTTACATTCATGTTGTAAATCTTTGACCATGTTTTGGACTCTAATAGTTTAAGCTGGTTTGTGTTATGAGTGTCCTGGGACACGGAGTTGAGCGGGACCCGACGCGAGAGACCTGCCTCGCGGCCGGGGAGCAGAAGTCTCTCGTCTGTGCAGTCCTGCGCCGCGGTGTTGGGTCGAAGACCGTCCTGTGCACTCTTGTTTCGTGTCTTCTCCCTCTTTTCCCGTCTCACCTTACGGCTGGCTGTACGCTGCAGTGTCTGTCTACTTGGTGGCTGGCAGAGCCCCTGCTCGGGTCCACAGAGGGAGGGCGTGTTGGTATGCACGGCTCCCAAGCCCACACCCACTTTGCCAGAGCCTACTCAGTGGAGGGCTGCGACGGGTGGTATTAGGGTGAGGGCAAGCCAGTGCAGTCCACTGGTTCCGTCAGCGGGCGCTCCAGGGTTGGGAAGGGTAGCCTGTTCTCTCGTGAAATGATCGCGAGAGCTGCCGTGGGCTGTCTGCTTTCCCTGTGCCTGGCACTTGGCTAGGCATTTGAGTGCATTATTGTGGTGCACGCTCACAGCAGCCTAGCGAAGAAGCAGGCACTGGGAGGTTGCCTGGGGTCACATAACTGGAAAGTAGCAGAGCCAGGATCGGCCCAGATGGCCTGGCTCTAAGCCCCAAGCTCTTGACTCTGCCCTCTCCTGACTCCCCACCTCTAGCGTCCAGGTCACTGTTCCCCTGCTCCTCCTCCCTTGCAGCTCCACCTGCGCGTCCTCTGCCACTCCTGGCTGTGGCTGGCCTCCCTCGGGCAGGGTATGCAGTGGGGAGAACTGTGACACTACTCTCAGATCACCAAGCAGTGCTGTCCTGGGTGCCCAGGGGCGTTCGTCCATGGGTCTCAGCCACGGGCAGACTGGGCCAGTACCACCTCCTCTTCGTGTCCCTTGTCATCTGTCCCAGCATATGCACCTCAGGTCCCCCGCTACAGAGAAGTCCCGTCCTCGGGCCACGGGAAGCTCCTGTTAGAGCTGCAGGGGACAGGAAGCCTGTGCCGGCCCCGAGGCCCTTGGCCGCTGAGTATCGGGTCGGATCAGCCCCTGTCCTCCATCACCTCATCTCAGCCGCCCCTTCCTGGCAGGAGAGACTCTGTGCGCAGGCCTCGTTCTCCTGCGCGGCCCTCTTGCCTCTGCCTCTCAGCCAGCCCAGCCTGCCTGTCCTCTGCTGTCCCTTGTACCCCCAGGCCAGTGGCACTGCCCTGCTCACGCCCACAGCAGAACGGCTCCTGACACAGACAGGCGTCGTAACTGCCATTGATCGCTTCACTAAGGAGCGAATCAAAATCCCAGTGGAGCCACCCACCCGAGGGCAGCCAGGGCCCCCCCCCCCCCGCATGTCCGATGGCCTCGGACAGCCGCTGCCCCCATCCAGGCTGTGGTTTCGGTCCTGGGGCTCCTCTAGAGAACCCCACCTGTCCCAGGGACAGATTCGTTTATCGAAAGAGGTGTTGTCACATGATTCCTGGAGAGTACAATATAGGGAAAAAAATGTCTGAAGCCATTCCCCCCCCCCCCCCCCCCGGTGAAGTCCTCGCTGCAGGACTCTCCCTGGGGGACAGGGAGTTCTCGGGAACAGCCCGAGGCGTCTCCAGCCGCTCTGCCGGCCCCGCTGCCCGGGCGAGACGATGACCGCCGGCTGCCAGGCGGGCGTCCGCCTGCAGTGGCGAGCGTGGGTCTCACTCGGTGGCGGTTCCTCTGGGCTTCCGCGCACCGTCCCCTGCTCGCGGGACTCCGCGCAGGTGTCCGTCTCTGTGCCTCCGGGTCCGTCCGGCGCGGGTTCTGTGCGCTGGACACTCGGTGTGCCGTGCTCCTCTTGAAGTACAGTTGGAAAAGCCCGGAGGGGAAAACGGCATTTCAAACACAAGACTCTTTGTATCTGAACCTCCTTTTCAGTTGCTTCAAAGAGTGAAAACGGTGGTGGAAAGACAGTCACGTTGGCTATTTGCAGCGTGTTTGTATCTGATGGCAGCTTTTAAATGCCCGGGTCACGCTGCAGTGCTGAGAAGAGCAGGCGGGGAGCGGGAGGAGCGGCCCCCCGCGTGTTTCGGGAGAGCCCGGCTGACTTAGAGCGCGTTCGGTTTCCGCTGCCTGAAGTCCCCTCCAGGAAACGGCCAAGTGAACCTGGAATGG